AAAAGAGCCAAGAGGAGACAGCTTCTTATTTTCAGTGCTTGACTAGAATTGTTTTTTTAAGAGGTACTGAAAGTTTGAGAAAAGTCCAGACTTCTTATTTTTAGCATCCTTTCTGGTGAATTTTCTTCCCTTATGTTTACGTGGTGGTGGTAGAACCATCTGGAAATGATAGGAACAGCTATTTATTGTGAGGGGCGGGAGATGGCAGGCAGGTTACTACCCTCTGCATTGCTTCCATTTCTCGAATTTACTGTCTTGCTGTCTGTAAATTGTAGAAGTCATGTGAAAAGTTGTGTTCTGAAATCTTTGCCTGCACGTTTGAAATGGAAGTTCATGAGCCTTGATTCAAGCATAGCTGATTCTTCCAGCTACCCTTCTGGCAAATGCTTCCATGCTTGCTGTAGCGTTGAAGGAAAGAGTTTTTTCTTTAGTGTCTTTACATTTCAAATCCTCCTGGCCTAAGCATGCCCATGACAGTGAATGTTTCTAGTCATCAGTCAGTATTTCCCAACAAAGAACGGAAGATTCTTACATTCTCTTGAAAACCGTGAAACTCTTGAACTAAAATATATTTTTCACAGCCATTTCTAACCTCTTATAACTGTGAGAAAGGCTTAGCAGGTCTCATGGTGGAGTGAAAAAAGAACTCAACCTGAAAATGGACAGGCCTGCCCAGCTCATGATTTCTGAATGACTAGGAAATCAGTTGGTGCAGTGGCTCACGCCTGTAATCCTAGCACTTTGGGAGGCTGAAGTGGGCAGATCGCTTGAGCCCAGGAGTTTGAGACCAGCCTGGGCAACATGGCAAAACTCCATCTCTACAAAAAATACAAGAATTAGCTGTGCATGGAGGTGCACACCTATAGTCCCAGCTACTCAGGAGGCTGAGAGAAGGATCACTTGACCCCGGGAGGTTGAGGTTGCAGCGAGCCACGAATGTACCACTGTACTCCAGTCTGAAGAGAAAGGAATGACTAGGAAATCTTGATAGTTCAGCACATATATCTGCTTTGCTGACGGTTATCAGTAGAGCTACCTCTTTATAGTAGGAACTTTTCATGGTTAGAAGAGGAAGGAGTTTAAAGGAATGAGGCCAAAGATACATTCTTTCAAGTCTGTTGACTTCTTTCTAGAATCCTATTTAAGCAATTGATTATGAAGACTGCAATTCACATCTCACCCTGAAAGTGCATGGGATTGAGGTTTGGGTCTGTAGATACCATCAGTGATGTCTCTGAGGGAATGGGTGCTCTTTCATCTGAATCATTGATAGCCACTTCAAAAACTGCTGTTGGTAGAGGCCGGGCGCGGTGGCTCATGCCTGTAATCCCAGCACTTTGGGAGGCCGAGGCTGGCAGATCACCTGAGGTCAGGAGTTCGAGACCAGCCTGGCCAACATGGTGAAACCCCATCTCTACTAAAAATACAAAAAATTAGCCAGGCGTGGTGGCAGGCGCCTGTAATCCCAGCTACTCGGGAGGCTGATGCAGGAGAATCACTTGACCCAGGAGGTGGAGGTTGCAGTGAGCCGAGATTACACCATTGCACTCCAGCCTGGGGGACAAGAGCAAGACTTCATCTCAAAAAAAAAAAAAAAGAAAAGGAAAAAACCTGCTGTTGGAAACATTGACGTTTATATGCAGAAGTGTATCCTTCTGCTCCAGGATTAAGCACACATCTAACCTGTAGCCACCTGTGAAGCCAGTCAGCACCGTAAGATGGGTGTTGTGGAATAATCGGCACTGGAGAGGACATGGAATCATCTAGTATGGGCTGCTCGCCCCACCCTCTTATTTCACAGCTATTCGAAGTTTTGACCCACGGAGAGGAAGTGACATGATTATGCGGCTCACTAGTCACATAGCCAGGTCTTGCCCATCTCAGGAGGTGACTTTGAAAATGAAGAACTTGGCAAGGAGGTCTACACATCAGAGGCTGGTCATTTTCCCTCTTTTTGGTCTCTGGTGATAACACGTGCTGTCACAGGCTGTGGTTCTCCTCAGAGGCTGGTCATTTTCCCTCTTTTTTGTCTCTGGTGATACCAAGTGCCGTCACAGGCTGTGGTTCTCCTTTCTGCCGCCTCAGTTTCAGAGTCACCAAGAATATGGAGTAGGGAGTAGTTCGGGCCAGAGGCAGAGCCGGGCCCACCAGTGTCACTGAGATGGTCAGTGGTCCTGAGACTGTGACTGTGGGTGCTCTGGCCAGTGGTGGCACTTCCCCTGTGAAGAGAACTCCTTCCTCTTCTAACCATGAAAAGCGCCTGCGGTAAGTTCCCGGTGGCTTAGGAGGGAACTGGTGCTGTCTGTGTGCTTCCAAGGAGGAGGCAGGAACACAGGGTCCGCGCCTCTGGAAGCTGTCTTGTGACCTGGCACCACAGGAGGCTGTGTGCTGCCTCATGACGTGAGAATCACGAGAAGCTCCGAAGTACAATTTTATTCTTTTCTCTCATGTCACAGTTCACACGCAAGGAATGTCTCCCATTGTCTATCGGACAGCTCTAGATGTATGGCCCTGATTCCGATCTGGAGGTGGGGGCTATTCCAGTAATAGCCTCATCTGGATCATTTCTGGCCCCCTTGAAAACTGACTCAAAAGGCTACAAAGCCACCTCTAAGAGTGATTTTAAAAGTTTTGAAGATAGTGGAAAAACCTTGGAAGGTATTTGGAATAAGGTGTAATTATAACCATGCCACAGAAAAAACAGACTGTTTTGGGTCACGCCTATCCCCTCATTTGAAAAGAAGATCTCAGCAGGTTGCCAGACACTCCTTAGCAGCCAAAGACATTGTGGTTTTGAGCTGTTGGCTATTTCTAGAAACTTCATAAAGTTGATTCTGAAGGAGCAGGGTGGAGACCAAGAATGGAAGTGTGCTCTTTGAAGGCATTTTTGGCAACCAGACGGTATTTGCCTCAGGCTCAGGAAGTCCAGCAGGGCCCGAGAGTCTTGCTCCACTCTAGCTCTGCTAGGCTGGCTGGTGCAAGGTGGCCGCCAACATCAGGCAGCCGGTGGGGGATGCAGAGAGTGTGATCGATTATGGGGTGTGATCGAATGCAGGGCGTGATCAATTGCGGGGCATGATCGATTGCGGGGGCGTGATCGATGGCGGGGGGTGTGATCGATGGCGTGATCGATGGCGGGGGCACGATTGATGGCGGGGGCACGATCGATTGTGGGGGCGTGATCGATTGGGGTGCGTGATCGATGGTGGGGGCGTGATCGATTGTGGGGGCGTGATCGATGGCGGGGGCGTGATCGATGGTGGGGGCGTGATCGATGGCGGGGGCACGATTGATGGCGGGGGCACGATCGATTGTGGGGGCGTGATCGATTGGGGTGCGTGATCGATGGTGGGGGTGTGATCGATTGGGGTGCGTGATCGATGGCGGGGGCGTGATCGATTGTGTGGGCGTGATCGATTGTGGGGGTGTGATCGATGGCGGGGCGTGATCGATGGCGGGGGCGTGACTTGATCGCGGGGCGCGATCCACAGCTGCTTCCGTCCTAGCCGCTTCTCCTTTCTGCCCTTGCATTCAAGTCCACACGTGGTTCTTGAGCTCCTAGTACCCTCGCAGCCACTGTTGAGTACTGGCCTCCCCTTTCTAACTGGTTTTCCTTGCTGTTCCATTTTCATATTCACAAACTTCTGAACTTAAATCATCAGTCAGTGGCCCTCACTTTCCTTTAGCAGTTCATTTTGTCACTTATATCTTTTTGTTTTTACTATAGAAGACATTCTCTTTATTCATTTGTTTAAAAACTTATGAGCTTGTTGGTTTCTGGATTAACAAGAAACCCAAAACACTACAACTACATGGATGGAACTGGACTTGATGTGAGATGAAATCAGCCAGACCCAGGAAGACAAACTCCTCACGTCCTCACTCGTATGTGGGAGCTGAACATTTTCAGAGCTGAACTCATGGAGATAGAGAGTAGAACGATGGGTCCCAGAGGCTGGGAAGCGTAGCAGGGAGGTGGGGAGAAAGTGGGACGGCTAATGGGTACAAAAATAGAGTTAGAATGATCAGATCTAGTGTTTGGTAGAACAGTGGGGCGACTACAGTTAATAATTTATTGTATATTTAAAAATGACTAAAAGATTGGAATTGGAATGTTCCTGACACAGAGAAGTAACAACTTGGGGTGGTGGATACCCCAGTTACCCTGATTTGATCATTATACATCATATGCCTGTGTCAAAACTTCACAGGTACCCTATAAATGTATCTATAATGATTATATACCCATAATAACTTTTTACAAAACACCCTGAAACACTGTGGAGCCCTCTTCCCATTCTGCACTCCAGGAGCAGGACAGCGGTTATGCCAGTAATCCAAAAGGGTTTTATTTGTTGTTGTTTGTTAGTGTTTTGTTTGAGAGCCAAGGTCTCGCTCTGTCACCCAGGCTGGAGTGCTGTGGTGTGGTCATAGCTCTGTGTATCCTCAAAGTCCTGGGCTCAAGAGATCCTCCCGCCACGGCCTCCCGAGTACAGGTGTGTGCCACCACACCTGGGTAGTTTTTATTTTAGTTTGTTTTTTTGTAGAGACTGGATCTCTCTAATGTTGCCCAGGCTGGTCTTGAAATCCTGGCCTCAAGCGACCCTCTCACGTCAGCCTCCCGCATGCTGGGATTCCAGACGTGAGCCACTGTGCCTGACTAGATTTATATTTGATGCGGATGTGATTCTGTAACATTTTCCCACAGCACAACTACCCCCCAGTGGAACTGTGTAAAGATTAACACATACGACCTCAAGGAAAGGGTTGGCCTAGAAGAATTTTGGGGATGTAGAAGATTCACCCTGAGAATACCTTGGGTGCCTAGGTCCTGCTCGTCAACCTGCCACTTAACTAGTGTGTGACCTCTCACCTCGTGGACGTCCCTGGACCCTTCCTGGCCTTTCTGGGAAGACTTCAGCCCTTTTGACCCTGTGGATCGGTGTGTAGTGACGTAAGGATATTATGCCAGGTGATGATGTGTTCTCTCTTCCTCGCAGAGTGAAGGCTGCGCAGACTGAGTTAGGACAGCAAATCCTGGCCGATTTTGAAGAAGCGTTTCCTTCCCAGGGCACCAAGGTACTGCTCTGCGTTTCCCTGTCTTTAGAGATGACCGGCATCCTTGCCGAGCTTATGCCCACCCCGGTCACCACGCGGTTGTCATTCCCGTCGTGCCCGCTGGCAGCTGCAGATCCGTCTGCTGCAGGCTCAGGGTAACGAGACCATCCTGGATTTTAAATGTCCCAAGGTGGTGGCAGTTCCTCCTCTGTTTCCTTCCAGCCTCAGAAAGGGAGGATTTGTTTGGGCTTAATTTAATGTAGGTCAAACCTTCTATCTTGTCTGCCCTGTCAATTCCTTTTTTCTCATAGCTGTATTTTTAAAAAATCCTCATGCCGCAGTGTTTTTAGGATTGTTACGTAACTTACTGGTTTTGGTTTGGTGAAAAGACAACTGGGCGGAGCACCCACCGGCTTATGTGACTCTCGGAGTGACACAGTGAGGAGCCTCCCTGTTAGCGGCCGTAAGCCTGCTCTTCGGAATTAATGCCCTTGAGCGCTCTGGTAGCAGAGCTGTTTGTGTTGTGTCTGCAAAGCCCACAGCATTTCACGTGGGAGCTGCTGGTTGCACTTCTCATGTAACAAGCTTTCTCCCGCTCGGCGGTCATCCTGCTTGGGGAACTGCTTTTAGCTCCACCCTTCCAACTGCAGCAGATGCCGTCTTTATACCTAGCGTGTGTCGGACAGGAAAGAACCATACAAGCCCTTTTCTCTATTATTTGAGCTATTTCAAGAGAAAGAATTGTTCAAGGCAGGAGCATACTGAAGCATTCAGGGGCAAGGAGCCTGACCCTACTCTGTGGGTGGAGATGGGGACATTACTGATCCGAGGAACATTTCCGGCGTCTGCTCTGTAATTCAATAACTGGAAATACCTTAATTCTTTTTTCTTTGTGTTCCATAAAAGAAACATAGGAAGTAATTGGGAGTAGCGGCCCCAGCTTTTGCCCCTCACTTTCTATAGGAATTCCGCTCCTGATTTTAATGTCTTCACATTTTATGGCTGTCTGCTAGTAATCAGATGCTTATTTGTAAAGCACTTTTCTTGGAGAACCTGATATTCCTTAGTCATCTGATGTAACTGCAGGGAGGGAGTAGATATTAGAAAGCCATTAGTCCTATTTATTACATGAGGAAAATGAAGGCCAAAGAAGTAAAAAAAGATTGTAGGGATATTCGCTCATGAGAAGCACTGGGCGCTTCTTAGGACGAGGTTAGCTTCACGTGTACTCAGCTGCCCATTTTAGGGTTTTTTTTTTTTTTGATGGAGTTTCACTCTTTGGCCCAGGCTGGAGTGCAATCGTGCCATCTCAGCCCACTGCAACCTCCACCCCCTGGGTTCAAGCAGTTCTCCTGACTCAGCCTCCCAGGTAGCTGGGATTACAGGCACCTGCCACCATGCCTGGCTAATTTTGTATTTTTAGTAGAGACGGGGTTTCTGCGTGTTGGCCAGGCTGGTCTCGAACTCCCAACCTCAGGTAATCCGCCTGCCTCGGCCTCCCAAAGTGCTGGGATTACAGGCGTGAGCCACCGTGCCCGGCCACCCATTTCAGTTTCTAGAAATTTCAGGAACATGTGGATGAAGCCCATCTTTATTATTTAGAAGAGACCTACTTTATATATTTTTTCCCAGATACCACTGGGCAGATGAAATTAAAATGGTTCTGACAGCATACCTCCCTTTTCTCTCACGTAGTGACTTCTTGTTTGTGTGTGTGGTTTTGTTTTTGTTTTTGTTTTCTTTTTTTGAGATAGAGTCTTGGAGTCTCACTCTGTCGCCCAGGCTGGAGTGCAGTGGCGCGATCTCGGCTCACTGCCAGCTCCGCCTTCCAGGTTCACGCCATTCTGTTGCCTCCGACTCCCGAGTAGCTGGGACTACAGGTGCTCGCCACCATGCCCGGCTAATTTTTTGTATTTCTTTTTAGTAGAGATGGGGTTTCACCGTGTTACCCTGGATGGGTCTCAATATCCAGACCTCATGATCTGCCCGCCTCAGCCTCCCAAAGTGCTGGGATTACAGGCGTGAGCCACCACACCTGACCTCGTTTTCTTTTTTCCTTTTTAAAGACTATGGACTTCTTTTAAAGGCCCTGTGTTACTATTTCTATTTCACAAACGGGAATTAAGATTTTAAAAAATAAATGGGAATTAAGATTTAAAAAAATTTTTCCAACGCAACCTAGTAAACTCTTTGTAAATGAAAAATCTGAACACGCAAACCCGTAGGTTTTGGCCTCTGTGACTTCTCTATGGGGTCACTTTCATCCTGAAGCGAGAATTGAGAAGTTAGGGTGTTCAGCAGATGACATAAAAGCCACTCAGCATGGAGTAAGTCAACATTTTAACAATTTAGGTCTCAGGCAGCTTATATCACACTTTAGAAGCAGTGGAACTTCAGTTGAGATGGATGGAATTGGAAAGAGTTGACAAAAAATAAAATAAAGATTTAGAAGAACCTTACTCATCACCTAGAGTCGATTGTTTTTCAGGTGAGGCCGAGTAAGTGTGTCGAAGCTGCATGCACGGCTCTTTAGCCAAGCCAGGAGTAGATTCCAAGTGTTCTTTTCAGTGTAGTCTACTTAGTCGGCACGTTCACTCAGTGACCAGTCTGAGCAAAACTTGGGTCACAAAGACCTTCCCATCATGACGTGTCAGTCCAGCCCCCGTTACCTTTCCAGTGTTCATTCAGGCCAGTATCACAGGGTTTTCTCTTTGGCTGCCTTTCTAGGTGGTTCACTATCGTGGAGCACGTGTCATGGCTTGGAACCTGGTTTTATGTGTTAAAGGCGACCACACTATTTGGCAAAAACATAGCACTTTAAGAACAGGAATCCCAGAGATTGGAGTCAGGGAAAAGTGGCACATGTGGAGAGAGGCCGGTGGCATCCCGACTCTTAGGAGAGAGGCCGGTGGCATCCCCACTCTTGGGAGAGAGGCCGGTGGCATCCCCACTCTGAGGAGAGAGGCCGGTGACATTCCCACTCTTGGGAGAGAGGCCGGTGGCATCCCCACTCTGAGGAGAGAGGCCGGTGACATCCCCACTCTTGGGAGAGAGGCCGGTGGCATCCCCACTCTTGGGAGAGAGGCCGGTGACATCCCCACTCTTGGGAGAGAGGCCGGTGACATCCCCACTCTGAGGAGAGAGGCCGGTGACATCCCCACTCTGGGAGAGAGGCGGTGACATCCCACTCTGGGAGAGAGGCCGGTGGCATCCCACTCTTGGAGAGAGGCCGTGACATTCCCACTCTTGGGAGAGAGGCCGGTGACATCCCCACTCTGAGGAGAGAGGCCGGTGGCATCCGCCACTCTTGGGAGAGAGGCCGGTGGCATCCCCACTCTGGGAGAGAGGCCGTGCATCCCACTCTGGGAGAGGCCATCCCCACTCTTGGGAGAGAGGCCGGTGACATCCCCACTCTGAGGAGAGAGGCCGGTGACATCCCCACTCTGGGGAGAGAGGCCGGTGACATCCCCACTCTGAGGAGAGAGGCCGGTGGCATCCCCACTCTGAGGAGAGAGGCCGGTGACATCCCCACTCTGGGAGAGAGGCCGGTGCATCCCCACTCTGGGAGAGAGGCCGGTGGCATCCCCACTCTGGGAGAGGGGGGGGGGGGGGGGGGGGGGGGGGGGGGGGGGGGGCATCCCACTCTGGGGAGAGAGGCCGGTGACATCCCCACTCTGAGGAGAGAGGCCGGTGGCATCCCCACTCTGAGGAGAGAGGCCGGTGGCATCCCCACTCTGAGGAGAGAGGCCGGTGGCATCCCCACTCTTCGGCCTCTTCAGTGGTGTCTTCTGACGTCAGCGACCAGTGGTGTTGGAACTTTTAGGTCTCTTTTAGTTATGGTTTGCAGAAAGTCCAATTTCCCATGATCATTACTGCCTGTTTCCCAAAAGATCTCATTGCAGATTCACAGGGTAGTTTCCGTGTCTCCTGCTGTAAGACGAGTGTAAGGATTGCGTCCTCGAGGAACGACAGGTAATGATGGCTCCATCCACAGTGGAAAGAATGAGCGTAAAGGAGCAGGAGAAGACTCACCGTGCGTAGAGACAAGAAGTAGCGGCTGTGAGAATCCATGAGGTTTAAAGGTGGTTTCTGGCTTTTAATCTGGTACATGTTGTTTGTTTTACCAGAGACCCGGAGGACCCAGCAATGTTCTACGAGATGCATGTCTGGTTGCTAATATTCTAGACCCCAGGATCAAACAGGAAATCATCAAAAAGTTCATTAAACAGCATTTGTCAGAGTATCTAGTACTTTTTCAAGAAAACCAAGATGTAAGTATTGACCAAATGAGATCAGAAGTAACCTTTGAATTTTATTGAAAAATGAATGCTGTCAAGCCTGCTGATTTAGACTTCCTTTTAGTGTGACTGTCTTCCAGTGTTGATTGTTGAGCTGTGAGTCCTAGGGGCTGACTTTATAGTTCTTAAGTCTTTTGAGGTCACTGACCCTTTGGAGAAATTCAGAAACATGCACCTGTGCGTAAAATTCTGCTTATAGTTTCTGGAAATGTATAGACCCCTGAAGGCCAATCATGGACCCCAGGTTAAAAACCTCTGGATTTTTTTTTTTTTTTTTTTTTTTTGTGAGACAGAGTTTTGCTCTTGTTGCCCAGGCTGGAATGCAGTGGTGCGATCTCAGCTCACTGCAACCTCCGCCTCCTGGGTTCAAGCGATTCTCCTGCCTCCCCCTCCCAAGCAGCTGGGATTACAGGCGCCCGTCACACCTGGCTGATTTTTGTATTTTTTAGTAGGGACGGGGTTTCTCCATGTTGGTCAGGCTGGTCTCGAACTCCTGACCTCAGGTGATCCGCCCGCCCTGGCCTCCCAAAGTGCTGGAATTGTAGGCCTGCATCACTGTGCCGAGCCAAAAACCTCTGGATTTTTAAGTAAAAGATCAAGTAAAAAACGTGGCCTAGATTCTTTAAAACCATGAGAAATACGGAGGTTGGTTCCATTTTGCTTGGCTCTGTGTTTTTGCTTGTTTCCTTAAACTGCCAGTTCTACTTCTAACCACTGGGGTGGTTTTTGATCTTCACCTTCACCAGGTTGCCTGGCTGGACAAAATCGACAGACGCTACGCCTGGATAAAACGCCAGCTTGTGGACTATGAGGAGAAATACGGCCGCATGTTTCCACGTGAATGGTGCATGGCTGAGAGGATTGCGGTGGAGTTTTGCCACGTGACAAGGTAGGTGCCAGTTCTCTACTGGTTTTGTTGTTCGTCGAAGTTTCACCGTCAGTTCCCCAGTCTCTAGCGGTTCCACGTTGTCCTGTGGATTTGGTGCCACCTCCAGACCTCACCAGATGATTGATGCCATCCTCGTACCCAACGGTGGCCCCACCGGCTGCTCCCTCTGCCCCCGTCTTTGCTCTGGGACTTTCCTTGGTGTAGTTCTTGCCTCAAGCAGTCTCTACCTTCTCCACCAACTCAAGGCTTGTCAACCAGCTTGACTTACAGCGATTCCTCTACCCCACGTTTTCCCCAGTCGATACCGCGTGTGTCAGTGTGCTGTGTGTGTCCCATCATCGTTTTTATTTTCTGACTTGCTAGATAGATAGTTCCATAGAGACAGGGCAGTATCTACTTTAATGACATAGCAGACACTGAGGAAACTTGTGTTGAGTGAGTTTCCCACTCCCAGTACGGTGTGTGTAGCCTCTGGATAGTTAGAGCTTTTATTTTGAGACAGAGTCTCACTCTGTCACCTAGGCTGGGGTGCTGCAGTGGTACAGTCCCAGCTCACTGCAACCTCCGTTTACTGGGTTCAAGTGATTCTCATGCCTCAGTCTCCCAGGTAGCAAGGATTACAGGTATGTGTAACCACACCTGGTTAATTTTTGTATTTTTAGTAGAGACGGGGTTTCACCATGTTGGCCAGGCTGGTCTTGCAGTCCTGACCTCAGGTGATCTGCCCGCCCTTCTCGGCCTCCCAAAGTGCTGGGATTACAGGCATGAGCCACTACACCTGGCCTGCATCTGAGCTTTCCAAGCATTTTAAAGACCTTCTTTCATTCATCCTGTCTACATTATCCATGTGTGTAGCCCAAGGACAGATAGTCTGTTTATATTAAAAAAACTAACGCCCAGGAAGGTTAAATCAGTATATCTATGACAAAGCTAAAGCCAGAGTCAGACTTTTTTTTTTTTTTTTGAGACGGGGTCTCACTCTGTCACCCAGACTGGAGTGTAGTGGTGTGATCACGCCTCACAGCAGCCTTAACCTCCCAGGCTCAAGTGATTCTCCCACCTCAGCCTCCGGAGTAGCTGAGATCGCAGGTGTGTGCCACCACACCGGCTAATTTTTGTGTGTGTATTTTTTGTAGAGACAAGAGTTTGCTATGTTGTTCAGGCTGGTCTTGAACTCCTTTTAATTCTTTGTTTGCAGCTACACTACAACAGTGTTGGTAACTGGTTCGTATTAGTTATGTATTTTTCCCCAGTGGTACACAGTTATATCTAATGCCAGGTGAAAAAGAGAAAAAAAAGCCCATATCTAAGCATAACTCAGCCACCTTCCCAGAATTCATGGTGGTCTTTTTGTTAAAATCATGGAAGGTATAGTCAAATTGCGTTGTTTTAAACACATCGTGGGGGACAAGTGTTTTAAGGGATATTGGCTTTTCTTAAAATAGATTTCATTTTTTAGAGCAATTTGAGGTTCCCAGCAGAATTGAGCAGAAGATACAGAGAGTTCCCAGGTGCTCCCTGCCCCATGTGCATAGTCTCCCCATGGTCAGCACCTTCCACCAGAGGGGTATATTTGTCACAGCTGATGAAGCTACACGAACACATCATCATCACCCAGGGTGATAGTCCATAGTTCATGGTAGTGTTCACACTTGGTGTTCATTCTGTGTGGCTTTTTTGTTGTTGTTTTAAGAGATGGGAGTCTTGCGGTGTTGCCCAGGCTGGAGTACAGTGGCTATTCACAGGCATGGTGATAGCACACCCCAGCCTTGAACTCCTGGGCTCAGGCAGCCCTCCTGCTTCAGCCATCCAAGTAGCTGCAAGTGCAGGTGCTCTCAGCTCCATTCTATGTGGCTGTTGTTCTAAGAAACACGTTGGGCCAAGCTTAGTGGTTTATGCCTAGCACTTTGGGAGGCCAAGGCAGGTGGATCATGTGAGCCTAGGAGTTTGAGACAAGCCTGGGCAACATGGCAAAACCCCATCTCTGCAAAAAATGCAAAAATTAGCTGGTCATGGTGGCAAGTGCCTGTATTCCCAGCTACTAGAGAGGCTGAGGTGGGAGGATTGCTTGAGTCCAGGAGGTCGAGGCTGCAGTAGGCTGTGATCGTGCCATTGCACTCCAGCCCTGGGTGACAGAGGGAGACCCTGTCTCAAAAAAAAAAGAGAGAGAGAGAGAGAGAGAGAAAGAGAGAGAGAGAAGGAAGGAAGTGAGGAAGGAAGGGAGGGAGGGAGAGTGGAAGGGAAAAAGGAAAAGAAAAGAAAGAAAGGAAAAGAAACACATTGACTCCTGTAGATTTAGAGAACCTTTTAGCCTTGGTTTAAGATCAGTTGAGATTGTCACCTTCTAAATCCCAGTTAACAAAATAAAGAGTGAGTTCCTTAAGAAACTGTTAGCTCATTCCTTTTAGCCTACAGTTCAGCAGACGTGCAAACCGGCTCAGTGAGAAATGGAGCCTGGGAGAGACTGGACGTGTGCCAGAGCCAGCACGTCTCTGTGAGCGCCAGTACCTGCCATTGCTGTCTTGGCTAATGGCAGTGTTGCTGCCAAGTTTCTATTGTTAGAATTTTGGCTAAAATCCTACAGATACATCATTCTTAAATAAACTCAGAGACTCTTTGTTTGATTTCATCATTGATTTGTGTGGGAAGATGATAGCTTAGTCCTTACTAAGAACTCGCACGTCCCTGTTCACCAGCAACTGAGCGTCTGAGACGGAATGTCTGAGTGAGCTGCACCGGCGCTTCTTGGGCAGGGACCAGCTAAGCGTGCTTGTCACTTTTCCCGCAGCGATCCTGTCCCTGGCATGTTTCCAGGACTTACGCCATCCAGTTGAAGAGATGATTACTGGGCCCTTAGGAAGAGACGGGGGATTATAATTCAGTAATTAATGACTTGTGAAATTATATAGGATATATACACTAATAAAAAACTAGGTGCTCCATATGTATTATTATCCAATTCTTCAACAGTTCAAAGATACAGGCAATGTAGTAACCGTGAAAACAAATTACTGGTGGCTCCCGCCTGTCATCCCAGCACTTTGGGAGGCCGAGGCGGGCAGATCGCCTGAGATCAGGAGTTTGAGACCAGCCTGGCCAACATGGTGAAAGCCCATCTCTACTAAAAATACAAAAAAAAAGAATCATTTGAACCCAGGAGGTGGAGGTTGCAGTGATCGCACCACTGCACTCCAGCCTAGGTGACAGAGGGAGACTCCATCTCAAAAACAAACAAACAAATAATATATATATAAAATCCATAACCCCTGATTTTTTTTGCCTGGTGGATAATTTCACCTTAAAATTCTTGTTTAGAACATGTATTTCTACTCTCTAGATTTTAGACTAAGCTGGTAACAGACCTCAGGGTTTGAAATGACTACGTACGTTTTTTTTTTCCTGAATATAAGTTAAGGCCATTTACTTTGTCTTCTCTTGAATGAATGAGCAGTTTGTTTGATAGTATTCTTATCTCTTTGTTTTGAAGGACGGAACTTGCCAAGATTATGCGTACCAGAGCGAAGGAAATTGAAGTGAAATTGCTTCTTTTTGCTATTCAAAGAACAACTAACTTTGAGGGGTTTCTCGCAAAACGCTTCTCTGGCTGCACCCTGACCGATGGGAGCCTGGTAAGACCTTCCCTAGGGGGCTGCCAGGTGAAATCAGGGGATTGGGTGGTTGGGATTCAGTGTTCACTGTGTGGTGACTCTGTCCAGTGGCTTCGGTGCGTACTCCCTCACTGCCGTGATTTCTCTGAGCTGCTGGGAACAGTGATGATAGAGAGCACTCTGTGTGGATTTATCATTTGTCTGTGATGTAGTACCTCATGTTTCTAGAATGCCCTGTCATCGTTTTTCCTAAGTATTGATCCCGTTTTACCGACTAGTAATTTTGTGGGTCAGAGGCCTTACTCGGTCACAAATACCTTATTACTTTGTCAGCTGTCAGATTTGGTTACAATTAGGATATGTTTTTACTTTAGGGTTTACCTTTTAACATCTCTGGTGAGCAAACTAGGTCAATGAGTCTCTGTAAACCCCAAAGCCAGGTATACAGGCCTGGGGACTACACGCCTCCATTGGAAAGGTGGAACATTGTAGTGCCGGTTAAACGTTTGTCTCTGTGTAGTCAAAGACCAAGTCCACATTTTCTCTCTGGAAACCTCTTCTTTTTGGCTTGATGCAGTGACTCACACCGGTAATCCCAGCACTTTGGCAGGCCGAGGCGGGATTGCTTGAGACCAGGAGTTCGAGACCAGCCTGGGCAACATAGCGAGACCTCATTGCTACAAAAAATAAAAAAAAAAAAAAATAGTCGGGTGCACCCCTTACTCCCAGTGACTTGGGAGGCCGAGGCGGGAGGATCACTTCAGCCCAGGAGTTGAGGCTGCAGTGAGCTATGATTGGTAACATAGTGACACCCTATCTCTAAAATAAAGAAAGAGAAAGGAGTAAACCTCTTTTTGGAGGTCCAGACTCCCTGCTAACACATCAATATGCTATCTTCAGATTTCCTATCCACTGGGAAACCAAGTGACTATGTTCTATGGTCATTTCTGTTTGCATCATTACATATGCGTAGACATTGAGCTCCTTGAATGCAGAAATTGTAGCTGGCTCATCTGTCTCCTCGAGTCGTGCAGAGTATACACAGAACCCATGCAGGCAGGAATGGAAAGGGAAAGAAGAAAGGAGGGAGGGAAGAAGATATCCACGTTGAGAGAATCATACCTTTGAATTTTCTTTTAAGTTAGATTTTGGGTTTTTTTAACTGCTGGTAACAATAGAGAAGCAATGTGATTTAGTAGAAAAGTCCTTGGACCTGCAATCGAGAGAGAAGATGCGTGGCCTAATCCCGATTCCACTGTAACGTAGTGAACTGCCTTCCCTGTTAAATGAGAAGAAAGGACTATCCTTTATTTAATTTATTTATTTATTTATCATTTTGTTTTTTAGACAGAGTCTTGCTCTGTCACCCAGGCTGGAGGGCACTGGTACGATCTCGGCTCACTACAACCTCCGCCTCCTGGGTTCAAGCGATTCTCCTGCCTCAGCCTCCCGGGTAGCTGGGATTACAGGTGCATGCCACCACACCTGGCTAATTTTTGTATTTTCAGTAGAGACGGGGTTTCACCATGTTGGTCAGGCTGGTCTCAAACTCCTGACCTCAGGTGATCTGCCCACCACCTTGGCCTCCCAAAGTGCTGGGATTCCAGGTGTGAGCTACCATGCCTGCCTATCATTTAATAACAGAATATTAGTGAGACTACATAAGACATAAAACCCAAAAGCCATGAAGAAAAGTGCTGAAAGGTTTGACAACATAAAGAGAACAAAATTCTTTTGGAAAAAGAGACCAGAAACAATCAAGGGATTAAAAAACAGTTTAAGCTGGCCGGGCACGGTGGCTCAAGCCTGTAATCCCAGCACTTAGAGGCCGAGACGGGCGGATCACGAGGTCAGGAGATCGAGACATCCTGGCTAACACGTGAAACCCGTCTCTATAAAAATACAAAAACTGGCCGGGCGGTGGCTCAAGCCTGTAATCCAGCACTTGGAGGCCGAGACGGGCGGATCACGAGGTCGGGAGATCGAGACCATCCTGGCTAACACGGTGAAACCCCGTCTCTACTAAAAAATACAAAAAACTAGCCGGCGAGGTGGGGCGCTGTAGTCCAGCTACTCGGGAGGCTGAGGCACGAGAATGGCGTGAACCTGGGAGGCGGAGCTTGCAGTGAGCTGAGATCCGGCCACTGTACTCCAGTCTGGGCGACAGAGCGAGACTCCGTCTCAAAAAAAAAAAAAAAATACAAAAAACTAGCAAGGCGAGGTGGCGGGCACCTGTAGTCCCAGCTACTCGGGAGGCTAAGGCAGGAGAATGGCGTGAATCCGGGAGGCGGAGATTGCAGTGAGCCGAGATCTGGCCACTGCACTCCAGCCCGGGTGACAGAGCGAGACTCTATCTCAAAAAAATAAATAAATAAATAAATTTTAAAAAAAAAAACAAAACTGTTTAAGCTGTATGACACAAACGATTAATACCTAGCACATATAAAGAACTCCTAAAAATCAGTAAGGAAAAGACAACCCATTTGAAAAATGAATACAGAGTCAAACAGACGATTCACTGAAGAAATTCAGTTGGCTAATAAACGTGAAAAAAAAGAAAACAGCATATTTTTCCTACATCAGGTTTACAAAAAGAAAGAAAATCAGGTTTACAAAAAGACTAACAGTACAGGATTTTAGTGCTAATATACAGCTTGATACCTTTTTGGTGCGTAAATTGTCATTATCAGAACTTTCAGAAATGTAAATATGCGTGTCCTATCAAACAACAATGTTACATCTAAACCGGAAGTCTAAAAAAATCTGTACATGTAGAGGAAGATGCACAAAGAAAGAGGTGAACTCAGACTTAAAAGCAAAAGACTTGGATATGTCTGTAATGTTTATTATTGAAGAATGGTTAAATAAATTACGGTGCATCCATGCCGTGAGATGCTACACACAGTTTAAAAGTGGTGGAATGGGGGCCGGATACGGCAGCTCACGCCTGTCATCCCAGCACTTTGGGAGGTATAATGTCTTTTATGGAAAAAGTAAAAAGCATGTTTATGTGCGTAAATGTGTAAGAAAGAGGTCTGGAAATGGTAACAGTGGATGTCTCTCAGGAAGAAAGTTGGAGTGAGAGTATGTAGAGAAGCAAAGAAATATTTTTTTCCATTTACTCTGGTATAGTTTTTTGGAAATTTTCTTATACAAATGCATTTACATACTTTATGTGTACTTTAACAACGTTATTTTTCAATTGTTTTAAAATGAGAGAGATGGGCCAAATCAGTGATTTCCAGATCCTTTCTTGTAACAAAATCTAATGTAGAGGCTGGGTGCGGTGGCTCATGCCCATAATCCCAGCACTTTGAGAAGCTGAGGTGGGAAGATCACTTATGGTCAGGAGTTTGAGAGCAGCGTGGCTATCACGACTAAAACTACAAAAAATTAGCCAGGTGTGGTGGTGGGTGCCTGCCAAGATTGCACCACTGCATTCCAGCCTGGGCGACAGGGCGAGACTCCATCTCAAAAAAAAAAAAAAAAAAAATCGAATGTAGAATCCGAACACAATAGCTACCGTGCTTTGAACATCCACTTGGTGACCCACAGTATACTAAGTGCGTTTACCTACAGTCAGTCGCTCTGCTTCATCACCCATAGGAAGTAGGTGCTATACTCATTTGAAACTTACCCTAGGCCACGGAGCTAATGTGTAAAAACATGAAACTGAGCTACTGTGATTGAAGCAGGGGCCAGGCTGGGACTTGGACCTGGAGTCCCACTCACTTGTTCCCCCTTCACCTTTGTCACCTTCTCTAGCTTCTACCCTTCTGGTCCTAAAACCCTGAGACTTCAGTGGAATTCTCTCTTTGTCCCACGAGGCCAGCCTCAGAGTAGGTGGCGCAGGTGAATCGGGCTGGTCTTTCAGGCAATGGACTGCAGAGTGGTGGTGGCAGCAACCCAATTTTGAGGCCAGACCACAAGGTCCTGCCTACGTGGGCTCACTCATGACTTTGTTAAAATAAAATGCAACTGAAACCACAAAATACTCTTTCTTCCTAGTTGGCACATCAAAAATATGTATACTTCTCTGCTTGCTGACTAATGTTCAATATTGATTTCTTTTTAGTAACAAGGGGGAAAACGGTCACAAACCAGATGAAAATAGCCTTAAAGAAAGTGCAGGTCAGAAAAGGAAGTATTAGCGGGGCATGGTGGTGCACGCCTGTAGTCCCAGCTACCTGGGAAATACTAGCGGGGTGTGGTTGTGCATGCCCGTAGTCCCAGCTACCCGGGAAACATTAACAGGCGTGGTGGTGCACGCCTGTAGTCCCAGCTACCCGAGAAATATTCGCGGGGCATGGTGGGGCATGCCTGTAGTCCCAGCTACCTGGGAAATATTAACAGGGTGTGGTGGGACATGCCTGTAGTCCCAGCTACCTGGGAAATTTTAGCAGGGCATGATGGTGTATGCCTGTAGTCCCAGCTACCTGGGAAATTTTAGCAGGGCATGATGGTGTACCCCTATAGTCCTAGCTACCCGAGAGGCTGAGACAGGAGGATCGCTTTAGCCCAGGAGGCAGAGGTTGCAATGAATTGAGATTGCACTACTGCACTCCAACCTGGGTGACAAAGTGAGACCATCTCAAAAAAAAAAAGAAAAAGATAAGGAAGTAGGGAACAGAGATCCCACTGAAGGAATCGTGCGTTTCTCCTGAGAAGTACAAGGTTGGCTTTAGCAACCTCCTGATTTCCTCTTGCTGGCTGTCCTCTCGGACCTTCCCAAGCCATGCTTCTGCCTGGTTTCAAGTACAGATATGTGCGGCACTGGATTCAGCCCTACAGAGGTCTGCCGGGGACAAGCGTGAGGTTTCAGCATTGAGCACAGGCCGCACCTGGGAGTAGCCCCCTGAGCTCCCATGGCCTCTGGCTGGGCAGGGTCCGGAGAGCGTCAGGACAGGCTCTGTGAGCTGGTAATCCAGATAACCGGATGGGAAATAGGTCCCAGTGAAGGATGCTTGAATGACGTTCTTGCCAAGCCCTTGTTTTGTGCCATTCTTCACCCTCTCTGGCTGGGCCCTACGTCCTGGTGATTTTTCTTTTACATTTAGGGAGCTATAGGACCATGGAGGAACAAATGGCCCTGTTGTATCCGAGGACCAGGGTAGCCTGTGAACCTGGGTCTGTCCCAGGACCTGTCTGAGGAAAAATCCCCCAAAGGCCAAAAACGCTAAGGGAACGAGGGCAGGGAACGAGGGCAGGGAAGGCCCTCCTGGACAGGCTGAGGCTGCTGAACAGGGTAACCACGTAGAGACCGTGAAAAACTGAAGGAGCTTACTCAAGTTCGCAAAGACAATGCTGTATTGAAAAACACAGGTACAGGCCTGTCAGAGCGGCAGTTGGCCAACTGTCAGCCACCTTCTGTCCTGGGAGGACAGGGCTGGGGGTACTGGTGGCTTAGGCCTGAACTCGCTCAGCCAGAGCCCAGCTCCTGGACCAGAGCCCGGTGTCTCCTGGCCGAGGCGGTGCTCTGGGGTGGTGGTCAGGGGTCAGCTAGGAGCACTTGAGCCTTTTCCCCCAGCTCCTTCCTTTTTGGTGTTCATATTTGAAATGTTTTGGCAGAACCGGTCTGTAAGGCATCCCCTCTTCATTGTTCAGTTGCTCTCGTCTCCTATCAAGTTTGCAGAGTGTCAGGTTATAAATCCGTAGCCGGGAAAGCCCGATGAGTACCATGAGTTCTTTCTTTCCCTCTCTATTGAGTCAGCTGTCAGCTCTCCTCGCCACAGACTCCTCTAAACCCTTCAACTTCTTTAATTCAACCACGTCCTCCAGACCCTATTCTTTGTGTCAGGTATCACGACCTGGCGATTATTCTGCATTCCAATTCCTGACAAGGGCTGTCCGATATCCTTCAAGGATTTTCTCTTAAAGATAAGTTTCTAGGAGGCAACAGAAGCCCTGTGGCCACTTCATCCAGGTGGGCCGGGCCTTGAGGAATCGGTTCACTGCAGCTCTGCTGTGAGGAGACGTGAAGGCTGTGGCTCTAGGTGATGTTCACACTGGGCCTGGTCCCCACCATCATCTCACTGTGGGCCTTGCACAACCTTCTTCACCTTTATTCTGCGACCCTCAATGGCAGGGACCCTGGTGAATTAATCGTGGCTACCGACCATGCTCCCAACACAAAGCAGTCTGGGCAAGGCCGGGAGTTCCAGCTGTCCTGACCCCCGGTCTAGCTGCTGGGGGCCCTGCCTGGAGATTTGCTGCTCCCTGGCCCCTGGTCCCTTCCCCATGCTACCTTGCTTTCAGGATACACTCTTTGGAAAGTCCTTTTTGGCTACCATTTTGTTTCAAAATACCAGAATAAATTATGAAATGAACCAAGGTATATCTTGATACCTTTTGATATATGCCAAATTTTATAGAAAGTTGCTGAATTCCTCAGAAAGGTGCCACGAAACAGGTGATGTCAGCTAAGGAGCCAAAATGTCCAGAGACTCTCCCTTGCTGCCCCTCCCAGGCCATACCTCATCCCCACGCTGCCCCCACCGCCGCCCTCACTGTATCAGTCAGGACCTCTCCAGTCCTTGGCGACAGTGAAACAGTGAGGATGAGCTTGAGGGTATGGCCAGCTCGCCAGGAAGACCCACCACAGCTCAGCGCCTCCTGACCCATCATCCTTTGCTCTTTTTCAAGAGCTGTGACTTCAACATCTGATAGAACTTTAGACTGAAAGAGCCTCAGGGACAGGGTTTGTTGCTTTTACCGTACTTGACCAGTTTTACGATGTCCTGTGCTGTGACTATTACCGGAGGAGGTGAGCTGCCTGTGCTTTTCCCAGTTGCCTCAACTTCTGACCCTTTAGGAGGAATTCAAGATAGTCTGTAAATTAAAATGCCTTGAAATTAAAAGAGAATGTCTGGCTATGACATAACTGTATCCATATGCATTGTTAGTGACTTGATGATTAGATTCAAGGTGAACAAATTACATTCAGCCTTCTGCTGGAAGCAGAGTAGATTGGATTAGGTTTTTATAACTGCTTCACTGGAGGGGTTTTTTTTTAAATAAAATAAAAAATTTTCCCATTTTATGCAGCTGGATTTCCCTTCCTCCTGACCATTGCATACGTTGCCTTTTGAAAGAGACTTGTCCTTTGGCTTATAGGGGTCATTTTAATATACATGTATACTTACGTTGTAAAGACAGAAGCTAGATAGGTATAATTGTCAACCATGCAATTTGAGCATAAGAGCATATGTAAAAGGCTCACGACTCATGAAAGCCCACCCGGCGTGTCTCACTCTACGCCTTGGCCTTCTGGCAGCTTAATACCTGCGTGAGGGAGGCTGTGTGAGGAAGGGGGCAGGTTTCCCAGCTCTGCCACGGCTTGAGGATGTCGGTCTCTGACAGCGACAGCTTCCCCCACCTGATGCACTCCCTTCAGTGTTGGAAAATATTTTATGGATACTTTACTGGTGCTAAAGAAGTGTATTCTTCCATTTGAATAATATCCTGAGGGACGATTAACTTTTGTTTCTGACAAGAGAAGAATACAGGATCAGGATAGAAAATTTGGAAAGTATAGGCGAGAATAGAGAAGCAGGGAAAAAAAGTCATCCAAATCAGAGATGAGGATTTGGGTATATTCTTTCTATGCATTTTACACAGTTGAAATTGTATTCTTTAAATACATTTTTCTCTGCTTATTTTGTTTTTAAAATTGAGATGTAACTCATGTCACAAAATGTCACATGAAATTTATTGTTTAAAATATACAGTTCAGTTGATTTTCATATATTCACAAGATGATGCCACGATCCCAGCTGTGCAAGTCCAGAACATTCCTGTTACCCCAGAGGAAATCCCTCCTTAGCAGGCAGGACCTTCAAGTTCTCTTTCCCCAGCCCTGGACAATTAGGAATCGACTTTTGTCTTTATGGATGCCTGTTCTGGACACTTCACATAAATGCTACAATGCCTGGTTTTTGTGTCTGCCTTCCCTCCCTCTAGACAGTGTCTGCAAGCCTTACCCATGTTGTGGCGTGTGTCAGCGCTGCATTTTGATGGCTGAATAGTGCACCATTGTGTGGGTGATGTACATAGCGAGCCTAACCCATGTTGTGGCGTGTGTCAGCGCTGCATTTTGATGGCCGAATAGTGCACCATTGTGTGGGTGATATACATAGCGAGCCTAACCCATGTTGTGGCGTGTGTCAGCGCTGCATTTTGATGGCTGAATACTGCACCATTGTGTGGGTGATGCACATACTGTTGTCTCTTCATCAGCCGGTGGACATTCAGGTGGTTTCCGCCTTTTCACTGCGTGAATACCACTGTATCTGTGCAGGTTTTCACTGCGTGAATACCACTTCCATAGTGCTGGGATTATAGGCATGAGCCACCATGCCCGGCCTTGCTAACTTCTTTATATATTCTGTCGTATATCAGACATATGATTTGCAAATGTTTTCTCCCATCTGTGGGTTGTTTTCACTCTCTAGATAGTCATTTCACAGGATTTCAGTTTTGATGAAGGTTAATTATCTTTTTGTTCTTGCTTCTGTTTTAGTGTCATATCCAAGAAACTATTATGTAATCCAAGGCTACAAAGACTTACCTAGGTTTCCTCCTAAGAGTTTTATAGTTTCAGCTGCTACATTTATATCTTCCATCCATTTTGAGTTATATCTTTGATCTATTTTGAGTTAATTTCTGTGTTAATTCACACACACATATGAAAATATGCTTCATATGTCACAGCTTAAGTTCTTTCTCAACCACAGAAAGAGTTTATTCTGTAGATACTCAGTAATTTCCCCAATTATTCTTTTCTCAAAGGACCCTTAGTTTTTTCTCACTTTTATAAATAGGGCTATATGAATATTTTTGTCTACTAATTTTATATACTTTTGAGATTATGTTTTTCGTCTTTTCTCTTCTCTCTTCTCTCCTCTTCGCTGTCTCTTACCCAAAGGAGTGAGATGATTTTCTTACGACACTAGTGGAATTATCCGGTGAAGTTGTGAGCATTTTCAAGTTTCAGCCTCTGCTTTAAACTTCTTTCTGTTCATCTTCCTTTCTGTTCTTCCAAATGTAATTAAGATCGAGAAGAAGTGGTGCCTCCTTGTTTCAGTGCATCTCACAGTGTCAGTGTGCCATGCCTAGTATGAAGGGGTAGCTCTGCCAAATAGAAAAAGCAAAGCAATCCAAATTCTTTTATTTTTAATTACACATTTCTACTTCTAAGTATATGCCCAAGGGAATTAAAAACATATGTTTGTACGTCCTACACAAATGTTCATGGTAGCACTATTCCCAATAGCCAAAAGGTAGAAACATCAACAGACAAGGAATAACCAAATATTCTCCGTACAGTGGAATATTATTCAGTCATAAAAGGAATGAAGTGCTGATGTGTGCCCTAAGCTGGGTGAACCTTGAACATACCGTGCCGAGTGAAAGAAACCAGACACAGACGTCACACATAATATGATTCCATCTACATGAAATATCCAAAGAGGCAAATCCGTAGAGGCAGATGGGGCTGGGAAGGGGAAGACTGGGAAGTAACAGCTTCCCAGGAACGGGTAAGGGTTGCTTTTGGGGGTGAAAAATGTTCCGGAATTGGTGGTGATGGTTTCACGACCTTGTGAATGTCCAAAAACCACTGAATAGTAAATCACTTTAAAATGTTGAATTTTATGTTATATGAATTACATCACAATTTAGAATTAAGGGCTTTAGAAAATAGTGTATGAGTTTAGTTATAAATCATCTTTTCTCTTCAGATAAATATTCTGTCTACAAAAAAAAAAATCAGCAGTGGGCCAGGCATAATGGCTCATGCCCAAAATCCCAGCACTTTGGGAGGCCGAGGCGGGCAAATCTCTACGGCCAGGAGTTTGAGACCAGCCTGGGCCACGAAGACCCTGTCTCTACAAAAAAAAAAATTGTAACGAGCAGGGCGTGGTGGTGCGCACCTGCGTTCTCAGCTATCGGGAGGCCGAGCTGCAAGAGCCACCTCAGTCCAGGAGTTCCAGACTGCAGTGCGCTGCGACCGCACCGCTGCACTTCGTCCTGGGTGGAAGAGTGAGGCTGTGTCTCAGAAAAAGAAAAAAGAAAAAGAAAAAGGAGCTATACATGCCTATTAAAAACTCAAATAGAAAAAAATATTTTAAATAAACATCTCTTCCTAACTACTGTATATCCCTCCCCCAGAGGTATCCACACTGTTTAATACTTCGGGGTGTATTTTTGACTCTTCTGCAAGCATGCTTGCGCACATATGCCCAGGCTTTTTGTTCTGTTTACAGAAAATAGAAAGTGCCGCCCATGTTTCTGAAGAGGATTGTACTGAGGGCCTTTCATCTTATCAGCATTTACCCACAGAGACTTTCAAGCTTCCTCTTTGTACAGGGCCTTGGAAAAGATGAGAAATTGAATCGGGAAGGCACTTAGCATCTAGTAGGAGAGAGAAATCTGCACATAACTGTCACAGTGTCAGTGGACATGGCGGTAGCAAGAGCGTGGCCCCAGAAATGGTGGACACCAGGTGTGTGTACCCTGGGCTTGCAATCTGGACTGTCAACCAAAGCCCCCCAGTTATCTCTTTAAGGACAAATTAGGAATTGGGCTGCAGTAAAGCATTTATGGCATGAGAAATGCAGACATTGAGGAACTTTCATCTCACAAGTGAAAGCTTTCTGCTCTAGGGAAAGGAAGAGAGTCTTAAATTTCAGAGTTTCTTCTTTGATAATTGGACGTGTCCAGCTAGGGCCTCACACAGGGATTTGTGTAGGCAGATGAGATACGGATGTACAGCTGACTGAAGCCAGACTTTCCCTTCCTGACAGTGAATTAGACAGCCTGACTGTCCTGTGGCCTGAACTGTTTTGAAGGTGCTGGGAATCCCCTGTGATTTAATCAGTAGGAATTAACTTGCTATATGAAGAATTTTGCTTTCCTGTATCGGCTTGAAATCAACTGTCATCATAGCAAAAAGAATGAATTCTTTCAAAATTGGAAAGTCATTCACGTCTTGGAAAATTTTTGGCTTTATTTAGCAGCCTCAGAGTTCATGAAATATGTCATTGAGTCACTGACAACCTAAACCCCCAGTTGTAATTCTCTGTGGCCCGTGACCGCTGCAGAGCAAGCCTGAGAAGCGTGATCTGTATGGCTCTCGGCACAGACGGCTGCGTTATGCAGTGAGCGCTCCCTGCTAGGACTTGTCTTTCATCTGAGCAGTTAATCCGAGCAGTCATGTAGCCCCCAAACTGCGGGAACGCGTATCCACACCTGAGGGTTTTGGGGCTTTTGTCAATAGGGAGGTGGGCGGTACGTGCGTGGTTGCAGACTACGGAAGAAAGGAGCAGCTCAGTGTGCCTTTCCACTTAGAAAGTGCAGTTGATGGGCCCTTTGCTTTCATTTCTTAGAGGGATCCCAAAGAGACAAAATAGTTGGGACAAGGTTCCACTTACGGTTAACAGAAATTCTTTTGACGAGACTTTTAACGCTGCGTGCCCGCGTCTGTCTCTTCTGTGAGCTGCTGTATTGAGAGAAGCACAACGGTTATGCCTCATGTCCTGGCTCACCCTATTAGCTACCGCTGAAAGCTCCCCCTTGCTGAGCCTCGCCCTCTGTGCCAACAGCACGTTAAGCTGCCGCGTATATTCAGTCACGCATTGCTTAACGGCAGGAATATGTTCTGAGAAATGCATCGTTAGTTTCATCACTGTGCAAACCTCGTAGAGTGTGCCTGCTATAACCTACTCCAGCTGCCCCCAGCCTTTTTGGCACCAGGGACTGGTTTTGTGGAAGACAGTTTTTCCACAGGTGGGGCTGGGGGTGGGAGTTAGGGGAGGGGGATCGGGGGATGGTTTCGAGATGAAACTGTTCTGCCTCAGATCATCAGGCATTGGATTCTCATAAGGAGTGCACAACCCAGACCCCTCCAATGAGCGGCTCACAGCAGGGTTTGCCTGAGACCTGACAGGAGGCGGAGCTCAGGCGGTCATGCTCACTCACTGCTGCTCACCTCGTGATGTGTGGCTCGGTTTCCTTATGGCCTGTGGACTGGTGGCCCAGGGGTTGCAGACCCCGGCCTACTCCATCGTCTGACTCCAGTATAATCTAGTGGAACCGCCGTCGTACCGTGGCCCGTCATGGGTGGAAACATGATGGTGTGGCACGTGACTGTGGCGCTCACTCCTGCCGCGCACGCCTCATCCCATCCTCATGGCAGCCATACGAGGTGGGTATTCCTGTCCCTTCACATTGCAGGTAGGAGAACTGAGGCTGGAAGTTAAACAGCACACCCCATGGTGGTGGAACCTGGACTCGAACCCAGGTCTGTCAGATCCGGAGCCTGTGCCTTGCCACTACACGAGGGTGCCCCATCTCAGTTAAGGCACTCTCAGCTGTGCAGTTGCTTGGACCAGAAAGTGGGTGTCCCTTCACTCCTTTCGTTCCCTCACCGTCGTTCTCACTCTCAGCAAAGCCTCCTGGCTCTGCCTCCTAACTATGCCCCACATCTGACGGACGCTTTTTTCTGTCCTCCATCACCAGCTTAGTCCGGTTCCCCATCAGCCCTTTCCCGGAACACTGTAGCAGCCTCTTAAATTGGGCTTCCTGCTGTCACTATAATCCGTTCCCCCACAGCAGTGGACTATTTTTAAAATCCAAGTTAGATCACATCACTTCCCTCTTGAAAACCACCAGCGACTGCCCAATTGCAGTGAGAAGAAAACCGACCCTTACCATGGCCCACAAAAGGCCGCGTGACGGGGCTGCTGCCCCCTCTTACCCCAGGCCCCACCCCTCTTACCCCAGGCCCCACCCCTCTTACCCCAGGCCCCACCCCTCTTACCCCAGGCCCCACCCCTCTTACCCCAGGCCCCACCCCTCTTACCCCAGGCCCCACCCCTCTTACCCCAGGCCCCACCCCTCTTACCCCAGGCCCCACCCCTCTTACCCCAGGCCCCCGTCTTCCTTTCTGTCCCTCAGACTCACCAAGTGCTTTCCAGCATCTCCACCAGGGCTCCCTGCTGAGAACACCTTTCCTTGGGTTTTGCCTGAGCAGTTCCTTCTTACTCAGCTCAGCCGTCATCTCCTCAGAGACCTTTTCTGACAACTCCGTGTAGACGCACTTTCCCACCCTCATCCCCAGCTCATCCCACTCCCTGAGTTTTCCTCTCACCACTGCAGCGCCACCTCTAATCCGTCTTCCTCACTTGCATCCCTGGTGCGCCCGAGAGTGCCTGGAGCAGAGTAGATGCCCAGTACATCATTGCTGAGTGAGTGGCAGACACATGCTGTTCCCTCCGCCCTCCACCCCTCACATATTTAACTCTGAGGCATCCTTCAGCTCTGGCTCAGACCTCCTTTCTTTAGGGAAGTCTCCTGCGGCCCTCTGTGGCACGTTTCCATGATGACCGCTTTTCCTTCGTGGCCCTTCTCGCCGTTTGTGTGACTGTTGGATTGAAGGCTGTCTCCCCCAGCAGACTCTAATCTCCATGAGGGCTGAGGCTGGCCTGTCTTTCTCACTGCTCTACTCCTAGGGCCCAGCATATCCCTTTGTTGAGTGGATGAGGGGAGGAATGAATCACTTTTCCTGTACTAACGTGGTCCACATGTGGAAAGTATGTGCCACATATGAGTGAGCTGGGAGCTCCTTGGTGTCCACAACTCCCCTCATTTCATCAGAATGTTAATAGAGGCCGGGCACGGTGGCTCACGTCTGTAATTCCAGCACTTTGGGAGGCTGAGACAGATGGATTGCTTCAGGTCAGGAGTTTGAGACCAGCCCGGGCAACATGGCAAAACCCCATCTCTACAAAAAATACAAAAATTAGTTGGGTGTGGTGATGCGCACCTGTAGTCCCAGCTACTTGGGAGGCTGAGGTTGGCCCGCACTCACCCTACCCCCGATGGTGACACTGAGCGAGTGGCCCGCGCTCACCCTGCCTCAGATGGTGCCTGCTTCTTCAGTGCTGCCCGTGACTTCTTCCTACCTTCTCCGTTTTCTTGATGCTTTATGCCAGCGAGAGTAAAGCCCAGGAACATCCTCAGTCCACCTCACTGACATCTGCTGTTTGCCATGATTTCCAATCACACCTTACGTTTTAAAAATGAGGCCCACCTTTATGTAATTGTGAGGTGCTGTTATCAACCCAATAGACTTAGCAATAGATGAGGGGCATTTAGCTCAAAAACTCAGATTCTGTGTCTGTCAGTGAATGATTTTGAGCAAAACTTTTAACTTCAGTTAGCCGACTAGCTTTTCACATCTACAAGGGACCAAGACTTGGAATCACAGTGACTCATCAGCTCATCAGCGTCATCCCAGAGCCCGCTGTTAAGCCAGTGGAATCGGGAAGCTAATGCTGTTACCTAACTTAATTTTTTTACGGTTGTTGAAGATTAAGCTTGGTAGATTCCCTTTCTTACTATTCCTGTCTCTCTCTAAAATATCAGCAGCCCTTAAGAAGACAATTTAAGCTTGGAGATATTGTATTCTAAAAAGAGCTGTAAGTTTTTAAGGATTTTTTTTCTCTCATGTTAGGTAAAGAAGCCAAAGTTTGGAGTGTGCAAATGTGAAATACTTGCTTGGGTGTTAGACCATATTGTTTCTCACCAAGATACCACAAAAATCATCATCTTACTACTGATTACCTCGAGCTAATGCCGTCACCACAAGGCTTTGTCGTGCACCGAGGCTGTATCTGTCCACATCAATTGCATCCAAGTGTTTTGGCCAACAAATAAGCAGTTTAAATGACTGTAAACCAAAAACCAGACGCAGATGTAGTGTTTTTGTGCAAGGTATTTATGTTATTTTATTTATTTATTTATTTATTTATTTATTTATTTATTTTTGAGACAGAGTCTTGCTCTGTCACCCAGGCTAGAGTGTAGTGGTGCCATCTCAGCTCACTGCAACTTCCACTTCCTGGGTTCAAGCAATTCTTGTGCCTCAGCCTCCTGAGTAGCTGGGATTAAGGCACCCGCCACCACGCTGCTAATTTTGGTATTTTTAGTAGAGACAGGCTTTCACCATGTTGGCCAGGCTGGTCTTGATCTCCTGACCTCAAGTGATCCGCCCACCTCGGCCTCCCAAAGTGCTGGGATTACAGGCGTGAGCCACTGCGCCCAGACTTTGTGTAAGTTTTGGTTTTACTTTTTTTTTTTTTTTTTTTTTTTTTTTTGAGATGGAGTCTCGCTGTGTCTCCCAGGCTGGAGTGCAGTGGCGTGATCTCGGCTCACTGCAAGCTCCGCCTCCCGGGTTCACGCCATTCTCCCGCCTCAGCCTCCCAAGTAGCTGAGACTACAGGCGCCCGCCACCACGCCCGGCTAGTTTTTTGTATTTTTAGTAGAGACGGGGTTTCACCATGTTAGCCAGGATAGTCTCGATCTCCTGACCTCGTGATCCACCCGCCTCGGCCTCCCAAAGTGCTGGGATTACAGGCTTGAGCCACCGCGCCCGGCCTGGTTTTACTTTTTGTTTGTAATATCTTCAGATGGTGTCGTGGCACTTGGCAAAGTTATTCATGCTATAGTCCATGTGCTGTCCCTTTTGGCTTAGGGATTAATTCAAGTCGACCCACTGGTGTTGGCTAAAATACCAAGTACATTTCGAAACTCCCTCTCCATTAACTTCTTGTCCCCAGAGAGCCATGCCTTGCCCCATTCCCTCATCCCCAGCACCAAGCAGTCTCTCTTTTCTGTTTGTCCATTTGGCCTCCTTTCTGCTAAAGCCTTCGCCTCCCAGGCATAAACAACATCTCTAGGTGAAAACTGTAAAGGAATTCCAGAGAGCTGCCTTGATTCTGTAGTTGTACTGGAATTAACATCGTCAGCGACCCTTGTATGTATCCTGTACTGCTTCTGGGTTTCACATTTGATCCTCCAGATAGTCCTGTGATTGCACCCGCATTCTGCAGATGAAGTTACTGAGGCTCAGGGAAGCTGGGTGGTAGGGCCAGTGCCGCACGGTTGGAGCTAAGCTACCACGCCTCCTGCCTGCAGCCTTCCCGCTGGCCCGTGGTTTCTACTCAGTGATGTGTTTTGAAATAGTGGTCATATTTGGAAGCTGAGAAGTCGATTTTCTCAAGGAGATTTCTGTTGTGGTGGTTGTAATGGGGCTTATTTGGGAAGAGACGTCTGTTAATCTGGAACACATGAGATTAGCTTTGTAGTTTGTTCTTGCATTGAAATCCGTCTGGCACTTTGATTCGTTTCTGTTTACTGAGGCCCTGCTACGTGCCAGGCACCGAGATGGGATGGGGAACAAGACAGACATAATCTCTGGCATCCTGGAGGCCAGAAGGGAAAAGACAAATAATGGGCGACTGCCGTATTTTAGTAAATGCCTGGGTAGGGGCATGTAGCGTGGTTTGGGAACACGTGTCAGGGACGTCTGACCCAAACCTGACTGGTGGGAAAGACTCCCGCAGAACGGAGTTCCGGTGTGAGGACTGAGGACGCGTGAGCGTTTCCGCCAGATTCGAGCTGGGGCAGGGTGGTCAGGGGGGTTTCGGGAGGACGGGAAGCAGCGTGAAGGCCTGGAGGTAAGAACGTGGTCTGGGTGGCCTCAGCTCTTTATTAGATCAGAGTGCATGACTAGCTGTTGGAGACACCTGGAGAAAGCAGATCAATGGGGAAAGCTGTTGAACACGCTCAGAAAACGCTCTCTTTCTCGTCTCTACCTAGCAGAAGAAGCTTGAGTCTCCACCCCCATCTACCAATCCCTTCCTGGAAGATGAGCCAGCACCAGAGACGGAGGAACTGGCAACGGAGAAAGGAGATTTAGATCAGGTAAGTCTGGTCCGCGCCACCACGGGTAACCACCTCATGTGCGTTTCTAAAAATGGGTCCGCTTGCTCCAGATACGATCCTTTGACTGTTGGCCACGTTCAGAGTTGACAGCTGTTGTGGTCTTTACAGAAGGCCTTTATCTGAAAGTGCGTTTAGAAAACTCCACCACAGGGCAGACTTCCCTGCCCCCCGTCTCTGCTGCTGCAGAGCCCGGCCGCCGGGACACACGCAGGCTTCATTAGCCACTGGCTGGGGCCAGAAGAGTTCTCCTCTGCCTCATTCAGCATCTCCTGAACTTGTCAGCTCAGTTTTCGGTTTGACTGTCGCCTGGCACAGTGATGATGTGAGAGGCTGAACAAGCCCCGGGAAGCCCACAGCACCCTCGGCTAGGAGAGGCCTCCACGCAGTGAGCTGATCACTTTAGGTCTGGAAGCCACTGGGGAGGCCTGGAAATATCACGGTGGCCAGTGGCATATTTGGAGAGTTACTTTTCAGAGCACACTAACACTTTAATTTCCTTTGGAGTTTTCTGTCCAAGTCTAAATTTCCTCTCCCTTCATCCTACAGAATGGTGTTTTTGGTTAACTGCCATGTTATGACAAGGGAGGTTAGAGCAATAAATCAGAACTTTTCCCTTCTAGATTAGTGATCCCTCTTTTTAATTTTCTACACTTGACTGCTGGAGGATTATTGTATGGTGTTGTTTTGCTCCAGACACCACCAAAAGAGAGGCTGGCTGGGAGGACCAGCTCTGGGAAACCTGCAGCCATGCACTTTGCAGCTAGCCCTGCATTCATTCATTCCCAGCACCGTGAGGGCAGGAGCCCAGAGAGCAGAGCTCCCAGGAGCAGTTCTGAAATGACGCAATCAAATGTGTCTGGTCCCTTGATTAAACGATGTAATAGAATGGATACTCACACTTTTATAGTCCTTTGCACTTTTAAGTTCTTTCACATGCTTTATGTCATCTTCACAATTCCTGCCTCTCGCTTTATAGGTGACGAAACTGCAGCTCAGAGAGATTAAGTGGTTGGCCCAGGGTTGCATAGCTTGGAAGTGGAGGAGCTTAAACTGGAAGCCAGGTCTCAATGTCAGAAACTAGAAATTCTTTCCCAGTGCTATTTTGTTGATAGACTCGTGTCTCGTTGGAGTAGAGGACATAGAACTGAATCTCAGGAATAGAAGTAAATGAACAAAACTGATGGGACATCTTGAGGAGGCTCCATCCTGGAGATGTATATATAGGATTAGATGCAGTTGATTTAAAGCCATCATAGTATTGACTGGCACGGGAGAAAACGAACAGTTTCTTGTCACTAATTAGATGCAGTTCTCAATTGCATTTTGGAAGCAGGGAGTAGGGTGGAAAGAAGGCTCTGGGTGTAGAGCCCGTTCTTCTGGTGTGTCCTCCATCCACACAGGGCCACCTGTGCCCTGTGGGCATGCTTTGCACAAGAGAGCCGTTTGCAGAGCCCTGTTGTCTCACCAGTGCTAGTGGCTGCCATGGTCATGTCCAAAATTGTGCAGTTAAACACTCCAATGCTTCTAGTGTTGCCAGGAAAAGTTACTCCTTTCGCTAGTCATCTCTGGATGTTATTAAATTGGATTAAGATAGAGAGGCCCCATTCCCTACACAATCGGTTTTGCCAGGTAAAATATAATTTTCCTTTTTCTTGGAACTTTTTCCTCATATGGAAGCTTAAAGTTACTATTGTAAGGACCAAGACCTGCTCATTCTAAGAACACAGAACACTGACACCTGACCAATACATGGGGTAAAGCAGAGTCATGTGCTGGGAAAATGTCGGACTCTTGTCGGCCATTAGCTGACCGACCATGTGACCTTAGGTAGGTTATTCTCTCTCTTTAGACTTCCCCAGTTTGCCTTCAGTGAGAGCTAATGGTTTTCAAACTGTGTTCCTTGGTGCCCCGTCAGATGTCACTGTGGAAGTTAGGAGGCGGCCAGGGACCTAGATCCTGCGATCAGAGCAGTTTTATTGCGAGTCATTTTGTATCGTGGGCTTTCAGAGAAAACATTTTTTTGAACCAGGGATTTTATGTCATTAAAAAAAAAAAAAAAAAGGCCAGGCACGGTGGCTCACACCTGTAATCCCAGAACTTTGGGAGGCCGTGGCAGGCCAGTCACCTGAGGCCAGGAGTTCAAGACCAGCGTGACCAACATGGTGAAACCCCATCTCTACTAAAAATACAAAGTTAGCCAGGCGTGGTGGTGGGTGCCTGTAATCCCAGCTACTCGGGAGGCTGAGGCAGGAGAATCGTTTGAACCCGGGAGGCGGAGGTTGCAGTGAGCCGAGATCACACCACTACACTCCAGCCTGGGCGACAGAGCGAGACTCCATCTCAAAAGAAACAACTAAACCCCCGATCTAGCTGATCTACTTGCCATTTCATGGGCTATTACTCATTAGTAATAAAACTTGCATGCCAGTGCCAGTGACTAATGCCTCCACCCATGCCATCCCTGACCTCCTGCTGCCTCACCAGCCCTGGCCTACCTGGTGGCTGATTAGGTGGGTGCCCCAGGGTCTCCCTCTTCCCAGAGTGGGGTACACAACAAGAGCAGAGCCCTTGGGGTCGGGGAGGGACCCACCAGATGTTAGTGGTAAAATCAGCCCGAGGTGGTTGGAGGGAAGGTCCCTGCTGGCTCCGTGGGTGACCTAACTCATTCCATGGCTGCAGTCAGTAGCCATGTGGCTCTCAAGGTAAGGGTCACACCCTGCTCACTACTGCAGTTTACGCCTGGCTGCTGAGAAGAGAGAGGGAACATGAGAAAAGGTATTTAGTTTACAAGAGGGCCCGAGCAATCAGTTGCCAAGATATTCCCAATGATAAAGATTGACATCGGAAAGGGGCCTGAGGGACGCTGAAGGTATAACAGAAAGGAGAAGAAATAAGGAATGTCCCTTCTGGTGACCCAAGCAGTTCGATTTAATCTGTTTACACTGGGTAGTAATAAAAGGAAATGGGACCAGCTGTAGACCTCCTCACTGTGACAACAGTAACCTTTTATTATTCCACCAAACTCCAGGAGGAAATAGCTTAAACATGTGCAGCTTTTGGGCGGAATTCACACACTCAGAACCTGGCCCAAACGCTACTGCTAAATGACTTAGTGTAGTGTTTAAGCTGAGAATCAACCCTCTGGGGAGTTGCGTGGTGCAAAGGGAGACGCCAGTTAGCCGAAATTCCAGCACATATTATCTAAACTGAGCACGTTCATCACACAGCCATAGGCAGGAGGCAGCCCTGTAGGAAAAAAGTAAGGAAAAAGGAAACTGTAGGCAATCTCTCCCGTTATTCCTCTCTTGCTTCAGCTCACACTAGAAATGCTGCAAGAGGACGACCTAGGTGCTGTGGTGACAAGGTCAGGGGTCCCTCCTCACTGCGGAAGAGTGCTGTTGGTGGGGAGGGCAGGCAGAGCAGCATCATCTACTGATAGAGGTGGAACCCTGGCGCTGCCTGGTCGTGCAGCTTTCTGAGTGTCCTGTGGGGCCTCATCAAGGGCAGGGCCTGTGGCAGACTGATCAAGATGAGTTTGTTGGAATTATATAGCCAGTTTCTTTTCCCAGTTAGAATCTGTATTTTATACTTACCAGATGAGTTCTTCAAACTTATTCCAACATAGTTTATCTCCAATCATATATCACTTTTGTGTATACATAAAAAGGAAACTATAAGCAAAATAAATAAAGATATTTATAAAACTTCTTCATATGCAGGCCCACATCTTCTGAACCACTTTTTAAAAACCTTTATATTTTGAAATAATTATGAGCTCATAAATTATAAACCTAGTCCAGTGAGGTACAGTGTACTGATCTCCCAGCTTCCTCCAGGGGACAGCTAACATACTAGAGTCCATCATCAAACCAGGAAATTGATCCAGATCCCTTCCCATCTCTCATCTTCCTTCAGGGGGACACCAGAGTGCATCATCAAACCAGGAGATTGATCCAAACCCCTTTTTCGCCGAGGCAGGAGTGCCTTTGCCTCCCACACAGTGTTGCCCCCCAGCCCGTGTGGTGTTGACGATGTGCCATTCTTAAGATGGCTCCATTGCGGTCTCTGGAATTTTCCATCAGGCCGTTGGTACCCATTTTCCAAGTTTTTTGTCGTTATCCTTTACTTTTTTTCCTTTTTAAATAATGTCAAACTAGGAGAAAAGTTACAAGGAGCTACTAAATATCTTTCTTCTGGATTCAGCAATTGTTAGCATTTTCCTATATAACTTTATCATTTTTCCCCCACTCCCCCCTGACCTTTAGAACAATTTGTAAGTTGTAGACATAATGTCCTTTACCCCTAAATATTTTAGTAGGTATTTTTTTAATTAATTAATTTTTTTATTATACTTTAAGTTCTAGGGTACATGTACACAACATGCAGGTTTGTTACATATGTATACATGTGCCATGTTGGTGTGCTGCCCCCATTAACTCATCATTTACATTAGGTATATCTCCTAATGCTGTCCCTCCCCCCACTCCCCACAATAGGACCTGTTGTGTGATGATCCCCTTCCTGTGTCCAGGTGATCTCATTGTTCAATTCCCACCTATGAGTGAGAACACGCGGTATTTGGTTTTCTGTTCTTGCGATAGTTTGCTGAGAATGATGGTTTCCAGCAGCATCCATGTCCCTACAAAGGACACGAACTTTAGTAGGTATTTCTTAAGAAGAAAGGCATTCACTTATATTACCATAGATCAAAATCAGAAAATTTAACATCAGGACAGTAATGTTATATAATCTATAGGCTTTTTAAGAGTTTCATAATGTAGCCATTTTAAAGTGATAAAATATTGTCAGCAGTTGGGAAAGTACACATAAATTAGCAAGTCAGTAAAGCTGAATACAAAATATACATGTTCAAAATAAAAAAGCAAAATATACATGTTGATTTTTTTAAATGGTAACATTCTGTATTATGTAAATTCACATGTATAATTACCAGAAGTCATCCTGCAGAATGTGAATATTTTCTTCAAAAGAAGAAAAAAATTCAATGAAAAGAATAGCCATAATGCTTATCATTATTATTTAATTAATAAAAGATAGCTGTTTGTAGAAGCCATGTTTTCCAAATCTAAATCCATGATATCTAGTCCTATAGGGTTAGATAAATTAAATCACATTTTTCTGTTCACTTAAATCATCTTAGTGAATCAATAATGAAAGATAGATACTGACTTGGAAAAAACAGGGCGAGTGAGGACACCCCTCACAATCCTCATCCTCCATCATAGATCCTTCATCTTGAACTAATGGAAGTGCAAAAAACTCCCAGAACATCTGTGCACTCAAGTGGAATTCTAGACCCGGCAGATTCAAGCTCAATCAGCCAGGCTTGTGTGGTCCCCCAGGCCCTACTGTGGGCTCAGTCCAAGGCCTGGCTATGGCAGTGGTTTCCAGATGATAAGAGCAAACAGTGCAGATTGTATTTATTCTTAGGAAGGACCAGAGTTTCTAGAAACCTTGCCAAAAAATGAAAGATATGGAGCTCCTGGAAGGTAAAAAGGGAAGAGGGTTAAGTACAAGATTGAGTGGGTCTATCTAAAGTTGACATTTAATTTTTGGTGATCATTTTTTACAAATCAGTTTTTACAGATGTTTTTAACCATTGCAATGTGTTATTTAAAAAAATAATAAAAAAAACCCAAAAATAGGTAGTTATCATTTCTGTCTGTCATTGGGGCTTATCTCTTCCAGTATTTATTAAAATATATAAGCAGTTCAAGAGGGTAGATCTTATGTTAAGTATTCTTTTTTTTTTTTTTTTTGAGATGGAGTCTCACTCTGTCGCCAGGCTGGAGTGCAGTGGTGCAATCTCGACTCACTGCCACCTCTGCCTCATGGGTTCAAGCGATTCCTTTGCCTCAGCCTCCCAAGTAGCTGGGACTACAGGCGCCCGCCACCACGCCCAGCTAATTTTTTTTTTTTTTTTTTTTTTTTTTTTTTTTTTTTTTTTTTTTGAGACGGAGTCTCGCTGTGTCTTCCAGGCTGGAGTGCAGTGGCGTGATCTCAGCTCACTGCAAGCTCCGCCCCCTGGGTTCACACCATTCTCCCGCCTCAGCCTCCCAAGTAGCTGGGACTACAGGCGCTCGCTACCACGCCCGGCTAATTTTTTGTATTTTTAGTAGAGACGGGGTTTCACCGTGTTAGCCAGGATAGTCTCGATCTCCTGACCTCGTGATCCACCCGCCTTGGCCTCCCAAAGTGCTGGGATTACAGGCTTGAGCCACCGCGCCCGGCCGCCCAGCTAATTTTTGTATTTTTTTAGTAGAGACGGGGTTTCACCATATTGGCCCTGCTGGTCTTGAACTCCTGACCTCGTGATCTGCCTGCCTTAGCCTGCCAAAGTGCTGGGATTATAGGCGTGAGCCACCACGCCCGGCAAGTATTATTACCACAAGTGATAATAACAACAGGGGTGGGAGGAAGCTTGAGGAGGTGGTGGATACACTTACTGCCTTGATGGTGGTGAGGGCTTCATGGGTGTATACTTAACCTCAAATGCATCGAGATGTATACATTAAATATGTAGGGCTTTTAAAATGTCAATCATACCTCAATAAGTGGGTTAAAAAAAAATAAGATATGAGTAGTTCAATTTAACAAGTATGTTGTGGGTGCCAATTTACATACAAATTATATTCTAGTATCAACCCCAGCAAGGTGTGTTTGGCTCAGGGTCATTTTGTGGACATTTGGCAATAGACAGAATTCACGTTTTTTAGGAATAGAAAGTAATATGTAGGAAAATCTTTGTTTTTTTTTTTTTTTTTTTAGATATTTGGAAAGGAATTAAGTAGCAAATGTAGTTTTAAAATACTTGCCTGTCATATGACTTCTTTATCAGTGGCTTCCAAGTAACAGCCTGGAAACCAGGGCTTGTCTAGTATTGCAGTGGCCTAAAGCAAAAAAATAAAGACAGTATAGTCTGTCTGGCTGCCTGTGTGTGTGTCTGTCTCTCTCTATCTATCTGATGTAAGGTTACCAACTGTCCTTTCTTAGAACGTACTGCCTATATGCTGCTATTTTATTCTTATAAAATTTGAGGGTATAAAATACGATTTTCTGGCTGGGCGCCGTGCCTCATGCCTATAAGCCCAGCACTTTGGGAGGTGGAGGTGGGTGGATCACTTGAGGCCAGAAGTTCATGACCAGCCTGGCCAAACCCGACCTCTGCTTAAAATACAAAAATTAGCTCGGCGTGGTGGCGCGTGCCTATAGTCCCAGCTACTTAGGAGGCTGAGACACGAGAATCCCTGGAGTCCAGGAGGCGCAGGTTGCAGTGAGCTGAGATGGCACCACTGCACTTTAGCCTGGTTGACAGAGGGAGACTCTGTCTCAAAAAGCAAACAAACAAACAAAAAAACCCTTTATTTATTTATTTTTTTAGGAACTTGTGGTAAGAATAGAAAGTAGCAAAATAAAGTTAACAACCCTCTGTTGGTTTTCCATCCTTCTTTTTCTTACATTTTCTTACTGATGGAATTCAAAAAATTCTGGGAACCATTGCAGGAAAATAATGGTATAATAGAGTTCTAGTTTAAGAAAAGCAGACTTCTACGTATGTCTTGGGGCAGGTTAGAGAGCTCTGAGTCCTCATTTCTTGAGGTATAAAATAGTAGTAATGATACCTACATGAAGGATTATTGTGAGGAGCAGGTGACATATTAGTTGGCATCAAAGTGCTATCAAAAATTGGATTGTGTGAAAGCACTTTTTAAATTCTAAAGCATTGTACAAATACAAGGTGCTGTTATTAGCCAGGGTTTAAATTCTGGAAAACACCAGTCGGATAGATGATGACGAGCTTCCAGATTCAACATACATGTGTTATCCAGGTAACAGTATGTCTTTCACCGTCCAGAGCAAGTGGGTGATGCTAACAAAGCTGGTGTTTTGTTCACCTGCCAGGGTGAATCGTGAAGCTATCATGTTGGGTTACATTGAGTACTCTCTTATCTGTGACTTAGGAGTGAACTTTGAAGTTATGTTTTTAAAAAAGTTCTTGAACATTTGCAAAGATCACTCAGGTATAGGATTTATTTTTCTTTGTTTTTACAGCCAAAGAAGCCTAAAGCCCCAGACAATCCATTTCATGGCATTGTTTCCAAGTGTTTTGAGCCTCATCTCTACGTGTATATCGAATCCCAAGACAAGTGAGTGAGGAACATTCGCTGTTTTCTGCCTGATTTCTCGCCCCTCTGGTCATGACTGGGTCTCAGAAGCACACAGCTCCTTCTGGGGCTGAAAGATGGATGTGGCACGCCTGTGACCCTCCCTAGAAACCCATTAGGGATATTTTTACATCTTTTGAATGTTATCATTAATTGTGTCTATAAATCTCAGGGCCTGAGTTTGCCCCTAATAAGGTCCCCAGTGGCTCCCTACATTGGGATCCCTTCCCATGTGGGTGTGTTGAGCCCTGACATATGTCAGCCCACACAGCTTTACAGTGTCAGGCACTGGGTATTGGAAGAAAGCCTAATCTCGAATGTATATGTTTTCAAGTATAATTCAACCTTTCATTTTGAAATAATTTAGACTTACAAAAAAGTTACAAAAATAGGACAAAAAATTCTCACATGCCCTCCTCAGAGAATGTTAACATCTTACATAACAACTACAGTTAACAAAATCAAGAAGGTAATACTGTCCCATTAATTTCCCTTTTTCTGGTCCAGGACCCAATAATCATGCATTTCGTTGTCAGATCTCTTTGGTCTTGGTCTCCTTTAATCTTGAGTAGTTCCTCATCTTTTTCCCTCCCCTCCCCTCCCCTCGTCTCCTTTTTTGAGACAGGGTCTCATGCTGTCCCCCAGGCTGGAGTACAGTGGTGAGATTATGACTTACTGCATCTTCCATCTCCTGGGCTCAAGCAGTCCTCCCACCTCAGTCTCCCAAGTAGCTGGGACCACAGGTGCACGCCACCCCGCCCGGTTAATTTTTCCATTTTTAGTAGAGATGCAGTCTCCCTGTGTTGCCCAGGTTGGTCTTGAACTCCTGGGCTCAAATGATCCACCCACTTCAGCCTCCCAAAGTGCTGAGATTATAGGCGTGAGCCACCTCGCCTAGCCATTCCTCATGTTTTCTTTGTCTTTCACAGCCTCAGTGCGTACTGGCCAGGTATTTTGTACAATGTCCTCAGTTTTTGTTTGTTTTTTTCTTGATTAAATCCATTTTGGGCAAGAATGCCATAAAAGTGGCATTGTATCCCCAGTGCATTGTGTCAAGAGGCACATCACATTGATGCGTCCCATTATTGCTGACACTTTGATTACTTGCTTTAGGTGGTACCTGCCAACTGTCTTCACTGTGAAGTTACTATTTTTCTCCTGGTGATTAATAAGTATCTTATGGGATGATACTATGTAAACATCCTGCTCTCATCAAACTTTTGCCCACTCATTTTTGCATCCCTTCATGATTGATTCCTGACTGAAGCATTGTTTCTGTGGCATTTGCCAAATGTTGATTGTCTATTTTCATCACTTCTTCTACAGTTACTAATTGGAGTTCTACTATATGGAAGAATTTTTCCTCTCCCCCATTTGTTTGTATATCAGTATGAACTCATGGACTCTGATTTTATTTTATGGATCATCTATATAATAGAGTGTATGCTTTTCATATGGCCAGGTACAGTGGGTTGCACCTGTAATCCCAGCACTTTGGGAGGCCAAGGTAGGAGGAGTTATTGAGCCCAGGATTTGAGACCAGCCTGAACAACATGGTGAAACCTCATCTTTATAAATAATTTTTTTTTAATTAGTCAGGTGTGGTGCACACCTGTAGTCCCAGCTACTTGAACGGCTGAGGTGGGAAAATCACTGGAGCCCAGGAGGTGGAGGCTGCAGTGAGCCGTTACTATGCCACCCAGCTGGATGACAGAGACTTTGTCTCAAAAAAAAAAAAAAAAAAAAGGAAACAAAATATAGTATATGCTTTTCACAAACGTGTAGCCTCCAAAGATTTTTATTAAGCATCTCACTGCGACCAGGTTCCTTCCCTCCCACTCTGTTTAAAAAAAAATCCCAAAGACTTCCAAACTAACAGCCGAAGACTGTGTGCATGCTCCAGTGTCTGTGTGTGCGTGAGGGGGCATTAGAAACGGAGGAAGACTCCTAACCCCTGAGTCCTTGTCCACAGCCAGAGGAACTGTAGAAAGCCCTTCCACGTTGGAAGGCAGGTTTTGGAAAGGTCAAGATGACTTGTGACAAGATGACTGGAGACAAAGATGACTGGAGACAGACTGGCCTGGGCTCCCAGAGGAAGCCTCATAGTCTAAAGAACGCACTTGGAAGGGACCAGAAGGTGGCTCCCATGGGGAGAGCAACAGCGGCTGTGGGAAAGTCCTGAGGGAGGTTCTTCAGGAACACATTGAGGTTCTGAGGGAAGTTCTCTGGAAACACATTGGGTTCTGAGGGAGGTTCTCTGGGAACGCATTAGGTACTGAGGGAAGTTCTCTGGGAACACATTGAGGTTCTGAGGGAGGTTCTCTGGGAACGCTTTAGGTGCTGACAGAGGTTCTCTGGGAACACATTGAGGTTCTGAGGGAAGTTCTCTGGGCAAGCATTAGGTTCTGAGGGAGGTTCTCTGGGAACGCATTGAGGTTCTGAAGGAGGTTCTTGGGGAACGCACTGAGGTCCTGAGGGAAGTTATCTGGCAATGCATTAGGTTCTGAGGGAGGTTCTATGGGAACCCATTAGGTTCTGAGGGAGGTTCTCTGGGAACCCATTAGGTTCAGAGGGAAGTTCTCTGGGAACTCATTGAGGTCCTGAGGGAGGTTCTCTGGAAACACATTAGGTTTTGAGGGAGGTTCTTTGGGAACACATTCAGGTTCTGAGGGAGGTTCTCTGGGAACGCATTAGGTTCAGAGGAAAGTTCTCTGGGAATGCATTGAAGTTCTGAGGGAGGTTCTCTGGGAACATATTAGGTCCTGAGGAAGGTTCTCTGGGAACACATTGAGGTTCTGAGGGAGGTTCTCTGGGAACGCATTAGGTCCTGGGGGAGGTTCTCTGGGAACACATTAGGTTCTGAGGGAAGTTCTGTGGGAACACATTAGGTCTTGAGGGAAGGTCTCTGGTAATGCATTAGGTTCTGAGGGAAGTCCTCTGGGAACGCATTGAGGTTCTGAGTGAAGTTCTTTGGGTATGCACTGAGGTTCTGAGGGAGGTTCTCTGGGAACACACTGAGGTTCCAAAGGAGGTTCTCTGGGAACGCACTGAGGTTCTGAGGGAGGTTCTCTGGGAACACATTAGGTTCTGCGGGAGGTTCTCTGGGAATGCATTGAGGTCCTGAGGGAAGTTCACTGGGAACGCATTAGGCTGTGAGAGAAGTTCTGTGGGAACGCATTAGGTTCTGAGGGAAATTCTCTGAGAACGCATTGAGATTCTGAGGGAGGTTCTCCGGGAATGCATTAGGTTCTGAGGGAAGTTCTCTGGGAATGCATTGAGATTCTGAGGGGGGTTATCTCAGAATGCATTAGGTTCTGAAGGAGGTTCTCTGGGAACGTATTGATGTTCTGAGGGAAGTTCTGTGGGAACGCATTAGGTCCTGAGGGAGTTTCTCTGGGAACGCACTAGGTTCTAAGGGAGGGAAGTTCTCTGGGAATGCATTAGGTCCTGAAAGAAGTTCTCTGGGAACCCATTAGGTTCTGAGGGAAGTTCTGTGAGAACGCATTGAGATTCTGAGGGAGGTTATCTCGGAACGCGTTAGGTTCTGAGGGAGGTTATCTCGGAACGCGGTAGGTTCTGAGGGAGGTTCTCTGGGAACGCATTGGGTTCTGAGGGAAGTTCTCTGGGAACACATTGGGTTCTGAGGGAGGTTCTCTGGGAACACATTGAGGTTCTGAGGGAAGTTCTCTGGGAACACATTAGGTCCTGAGGGAGGTTCTCTGGTAACACATTAGGTCCCTGAGGGAAGTTCTCTGGGAACGCATTAGGTTGTGAGGGAAGGTCTCTGGGAACGCATTGAGGTCGTAAGGGAAATTCTCTGGTAAAGCATTAGGTTCTGAGGGAATTTCTCTGGAAACACATTAGGTTCTGAGGGAGGTTCTCTGGGAACACACTTAGGTTCTGAGGGAGGTTCTCTGGGAACGCAGTGAGGTCCTAAGGGAAGTTCTCTGGTAACACATTAGGTTCTGAGGGAATTTCTCTGGGAATGCATTAAATTCTGAGGGAGGATCTCTGGGAACGCATTAGGTTCTGAGGGAGGTTCTCTGGGAATGCATTAGGTTCTGAAGGAGGTTCTCTGGGAACGCATTAGGTCCTGAGGGAGGTTTTCTGATAATGCACTGAGATCCTGATGGGGGTTCTCTGGGAAAGCTTTAGGTTCTCAGGGAGGTCCTCTGGGAACGCATCAGGTCCTGAGGGAGGTTCTCTGGGAACGCATTTGATTCTGGGGGAAGTTCTCTGGGAACGCATTAGGTCCTGAGGGAGGATCTCTAGGAATGCATTAGGTACTGAGGGAAGTTCTCTGGGAATGCACTGAGGTTATGAGGGAGGTTCTCTGGGAATGCTTAGGTTCTAAGGGAGGTTATCTGGGATCGCACTGAGGTTCTGAGGGAGGTTGTCTGAGAACGCACTGAGGTTCCGAGGGAGGTTCTCTGGAACGCTTTGAGGGCCTGAGGAAAGTTCTCTGGGAACGCATTATGTTTTGAGGGAATTTCTCTGGAACGCATTAGATTCTGAGGGAGGACCTCTGGGAACGCATTAGGTTCTGAGGGAAGTTCTCTGGGAACGTGGTAGGTTCTGAGCGAGGTTTTCTGGGAACGCATTAGATCTTGAGGTAGGTTGTCTGGTGTTGCCTTTCGGTTCTGAGGGAGGTTCTTTGGGAGCTCATTAGGTCGTGAGGGAAGTTCTCTGGTAATGCCTTTCAGTTCTGAGGGAGATTCTCTGGTAACCCATTAGGTTCTGAGGGAGGTTCTCTGGGAACGCATTAGGTTTGGAGGGAGGTTGTCTGGGAATGCATTGAGGTTTTCAGGGAAGTTCTCTGGGAACGAATTGAGGTCCTGAGGGAAGTTCTCTGGGAACGCATTAGGTCCTGAGGGAGGTTTTCTGGGAACAGGTTAGGTCCTGAGGGAGGTTCTCTAAACGCATTAGGTTCTGAGGGAGGTTCTCTGGCAACGCATTAGATCCTGAGGGAAGTTCTCTGGGAG